AAGCTAGCTTCGATCCACATCATCATATAACATACAAACTAGTTCTGTTCAACAAACCCAGATACCAAAAGGATTGCTCTACTTGTATCAACTTGAAGTTTGAGTGTCTGTTAGTCATATTCAAAACAAACAGCAAGTATTGTTTTATAGGCATCTGACAAGTATCCTTTTGAACCCTTAAACATCAGCACACCCTCCTCAACTATTACACTCCTGAATAAGCCTGTCATGCTCACAGGAAAAATAACCACTTAACCAATGATGATAATCATATTATTGCCCTTCTTTGTTCATTTCAGCTCTTTGATCTGCACTTTGGCAACTGTAAAGTAGATGAAATGCTTTGGAGAAGTATCTGCCCCATAAAAATGTTCCCATCTGAGCAGAATAATGACTCTTAATAATGGTTATAATCCACAACGGCATAACTGCGCTCTAAGGATCAAATAGTTAGCACTGTGAGCATTGGCGTTATATCAGTGCAAAATGGATGGGCACAGAAGTTTCTATTGCCAATAATCCAAGAATAGCAAAGTGATATTCACTATAGCAGATCATTGGTTTTAGTTGGATCGCCATCCAGGGATAATCTTTTCTGTATTATGACATTTATTGTAGATTTTATAAGTATTGAATGAAAAGCCAAACTAAATTATTTCCATGGTTCTTGGGTCTTTCTTAAATGATTCTCTTGGCCCAGATTCTCCAAAATGTTTACTCCCCATGTAGACATATTTGAACTGCGCAGGCTAGGTTACCCACTCACTTCAGTTGCTGCAGCTGTTTGATTACCATGAACAGGCCAGGCCCCCTGCTGAGGAAAAGTGGCTGTGCATCTTCCTCACAGCTACATAACCAAAGAGAAATATTGCAAACCATGAGAACTGATGTAGTAAGTAACTTCCCCCCTTCCTGATGAATCGGCACCCTTGTCATGCTCACAAAGCTGGACTGTCAGCGGGCTTTCACACTGATATTGTTAGTATGCAGACCATTAGACCAAGCCTATAGACATGGAAATGAAGTGGGGAGAGTGAGGGAAAGAAAGAGAGAGAGATGGAGTAGGCTGTGTTGGCATGGCTTGGCCTCTGTCCAACACACACACACTCACACTCATGCACACAATCTCAAATACACAAACACAGCCAGGGAATCGTCTAAGGTTTGTCCAGATGGGATATTACTCAGATGTACAGCTTTATTCAAAGGGCTCATCGACTCTCACAACACTGTCAGGTCAACTAAAGGCCACCACCAGCTTCAAAAACAACCAGGACAGTGTAGCAACCGATGCCAAGAGATGAAACGTTTTCTAAGACACAATTAGTGTGAGTGAGGGATTTTCCTTATTTGTTATTCATGGGTCCAACGATTTGTATCCTACCTGAAAAGAGCCCGGACTCTTGTATCCATTCAGAGATAAACTTTTACATTCAAACTTAACAAAGACCCGTCCCCAAGCATAACCAAAGAAAATGGTATCAAAGTAGAATAAAAAACAATTTGACTATTTGTCCTGTCACACAGTTTACAATGATAACATTGGAAGAAACAGTGCCTCTAATGATAGTAAGTAATATATTAAGTACATGTAATTGTCGGTTGGTAGCTAAATAATAATCATTAGCTTCAAGGATTGGTTGGAAGTTCTGTGTTTGACTGGCTTGGTCAGAAACACGATTTCTGAAAACATACAACAGACTTGATTTCATGCTAAAGAACATGCCCTGTTTTTATACTGTAGTAGTCTAGTATTACAGGCAGTAATTAATGATGGGGGAATTTAACTTCAAACTGATATTTGTTATTGACATGCCCCTATGGATGCTTACAGCAAGACGAACACAAAATTGGTTATAATGGGTTTTAGATTTTCACTTACAATTGTTGTATCTTTTATTTTGTTTGTAAGAGTAATAACTGTTTACATGCTAACATTGCATTACACTCTGATAGCAACGTATTATGCGACTCCCACGCAGGGTCTAAATACTAGACAGTAGATGTCTTAGTCTTGAAGGAAGCTTTTCTAACCTTTAATCCCACAAAAGAATGTAGTCGTTTGCTGTGGAAGTATTACCAGCAATGAAATCAACTTAAGATGGTACTGTTTGCAGCTTACTTCCAGCATGAATTGCTTCTGTGTCTTGTTAAATAGTTTTGAGGTTCTTATGTTGCCAAAAAGAATGATAGAAGAAAATACCAGAAGAAGGATATAACAACTAGAGAGTGCTTTACAAGCATAGTTGCAGAAGTCTAAGTTGAGGCCTGGTTTAGGTGTAGTCTGACTCATAAGAGAAACACTGTGTGTAAAACTCTGGCCTAATAACACTGCCCCATACTCTCATTGTGTTCTCATAACCCAGATCTAATTTGGCGTTATGGTGGTTCTGAAAACAGGTCTCAGCCTCCATTTCAGACTGATTATTTTTATGAGACACATCTTCCGAGTACTTTGAAGGAACTGACCTATTTATACACAGAGGAACAAACAAACCAATTAGAAAAACAAGACAAAAATGCCACTAAAGCTATTTCTTCATCTACTTTCTCTTTTTGTCTGTCTCTCTTCTCTGCTGGAGTGTAACCTTTGACAGAAGCACATACTCCAGCTTTCCACAGTCGGGAGCCAAGTACTCAAAGTCAGAGCAGAGTGTTGGTTTTGGACTGAGCTTAGACAAGAAAGAACTGGATGATGGGGGGGGTGTCAGACGAAAGACAGGCAGACAACCCTACAGACAAACAGACAGACAGATAGAAAGTATGCCAGGGGGCCACTAGGCACTGGCTTTTTTTTTAGGGTTTGTTTTTACAGGGTAGAGAACAAGACGACTCAATTATGTAACTACGAAAAACAGATAGCAGGTTGTCCAGAATTCAAAAAAGTTACAATAGCACTAATGGACATTAGTGCTTATTGCCATATAGGAAAAAGAGGGCCGGTCAGAAAAACTAGTATGAATGTGTAATTCTTATGAATATGATATGAAAGTTCACTTATGGACATTAATCCATAATCAGTGCCCTAACAATCCATATATGTTACATTTAGATTTCCTATATAATACTTAAATCACCGATATTTAGATAGTCAAGGTTTTTCTGCAAAACTCATTAACAAATGGAAAAAGCCACAAAAATAAAAACAATAATCAACATTTTTTTGTTTTCACATACAAAAAGCTCAGCCCTAAAGCTTTATAAAGTGTTTTTTTGTTGCAGTACTGTACATATTCTCAGAGGATTTCACTTCTTCCCCTCCCAAACAATCCAATTAAGTTGATAAAAAATCCAAATCAGAGTCCCATTCCTCCAGACTCCAAATTTAAAATCATAGACTGCCTTTTAAATGATTGCCTTCACAGTGAGTTCTCTATCTGTATTAAACACAGCAGCTTTTACTGTATACTCTTAAGTGAACAGAAATTAAATGGGTCTTCAGTTATTAACTCACCAATCTCAGCGCTGCAGAATAGCTGCTGTGGGTGTGCAGGGTGGCAGCTACATCCCTCCACAACCTCCTCCATGCCTGCACCAAGCAAAAGGAGAACCCAGAGGCCCAGACACGCACTCCGCTCCTGGGACAAGGCCATGATGACTGTGCCCGCTCCACCACTCGATGAACGCTGTGCAACCTTTTTCTGATCCTGTTAAGTTCCACGGGAAAAGCAGATCAGGCAGCAACAGGGGAAGGAACAGATAGAAGAGTTGAAGTGGTGGGATTAGCTCTACTGAGCTCAAATGCAGCTGTGGATAAAAAATGTTTTCATAAGTTTAAAAACACCTCTGATTTCAAGCCGGAGAAAATGGCTCGAGTTGAAGAGAAGGCTGCTGCTGCTGCTGCTGCTGCCACTGCTCTCTCTTTCTCTCTGTCTCTCTCCCTCTCTGGAGACAACACACAGAGAAACTTACAATAGTCGGATCCCCTCACACTCTGGTCTTGAATGCTGAGAGGGTCGCACACAGGGAGCCTCTTATGTACTCAACAATTTAGGGACCTCCTCAAACGCAGGGGAAAAAAACGACCATCCTTTGCCTCTTCTTGTAACCCTCTTTTGATGTCCTCCCTCTCCTCCCATTGGCTACCAGAGCTGCATTCAAGCAGTTAGTCATGAAAATTAAGACCAATTAAAGTGTTGTTGGGCAGGTTTTTAAGCATAAACACAAATTAGAAGTGTTCTCTTCAGATGAATCACACGTCAGTGAATTGAGCAATAAATGGAAACGATAATCATAAAACAAATACTGTCTTTAGAGTACAAATATTGCTGTTTGGAGGGAAACTGACGCAATTTCATCTCAACACAGCACTTTAGGACCAATGTTTAAAAGTAGACATCGTATTGCATGTGAGCCCATTTAAAAAGAAACAGCAGTAAAGACAGAAATAATTTTTAAATGATAGTCTGTAGCTAAAACCTTACCAGATGTACAAACATACCAGAGGCAGTGTAATGTTGTATTACATTCTACAACCATTTGAATGTTGCACGGCACTCAATTCTATGTTGAAATGTAATATTTGTTGAAGTAAATCAGTCATCAGGCGGACGTACAATTATCCTAACATAGTGAAACATGTACTTGTTGTTCATTGTTCATCTAACGTCCAGAAACAGCCCTCCAAATGTATGTTAATGCTGCTCAGTGTCAGATGGTTGATATATACTGTATTTATATATAATACGATAATTAATGAATGTAGGTTCAAATCTCTTTTCTGGCACAGTAACTAAGGAGCCATCACCTCCTGGCAGATCTATATAATTTGTTTAACTTATACTTACACAACTCAAAGTATAAACTCTAAATTATTTGTTGAGATTGTCATGTTTTGCAATGCTAGACCCATAAAGACCTACTTATCTTCATGAACCTGTAAACGGATGATATTGTTCTTCACAGCCACTCATTTTTCACAACTGGTTCTTTCCGGTGTGTATGAGGTCGTTCTTGGTATTCATCATTATTCACCCTTTAAATATTCTACTGCTTTTCAGATTGCATCTCCAAGTTTCCCAGTGGTGGTGAAGATAGGACACGCCCACTCTGGAATGGGAAAGGTAATGTTGATTAATTCAATTTCAAATGCTAAAGTTAGTGATATAATGTTACTACATGAATGATTAACCACCTGCTAATATGCTAACATTTATCCAACAGTGATGTCTTGTTTGAATGCAAGACATGTATCAGTAAAATAAGGGAACACCTGCATTTTGCATTATCGGTCGGTCTTTAAAATCCCTTTTTGTTCCAAGAGATAGCTGAATACTCTGAGCAGGATCACATCTGGTTCGTTTGAACTGTGTTATGTTTTCTCCGACAAACACTACCTCTTAATGTCCCCTGTGTTCCTCTTATCTGTTTTTCTTTACTCTTCATTCTTTTATGACTGCAGCATACCTTTTTATTCTCCCTCAGTCCTTGTTTTGTCCTTTCGTTGTGCTGGTATTGATTAACAACTGTGTTAATATTCTCTGGGTGAGGTGTTTATCCTCTTTTCACCACTTCTCATCGATCCACCACACATCGTTCCCCTGGACTTTTCAATCTGATATTGTCCCCCCGCTGTGTAACTGGGCCTTTCTTTATTTCTTTATCCTCCCCCCACATCACTCACAGACCTCTGTTCGACTACAGAGACATTCTCTGTTATCAGGGATTAAGAAAGAGGGTCCTTCCTGATAAATACTGTACAGTGTTGTTTGTATTATTGAATCTCACTTTTAAGACACTGAGACTACATCAGATACCATCACTTATTTCTTCTCCATGCTCCATATTGATCCAAGTATTTTAATTAGGTCTGCATTATTGACGATGTGACATTATGCAAGACACAATCGACACTAGAAATGTAATCTGTTAGGGAATAATTTGCCTAGGTATTCAACCTTTGACACAGTTCATCCTTTTCTCCTCTCACTGTCTCCTTTCCCATGGCATAGGTCTACGGCCTTGGGTATTGCTGCTATCTCTTTTAAGGAGGAGCAGATTGGGCGCATTGTTGTTGTCAGTCTATGACAGAACACAAGCCGCCATGAGGTAGTTTACTGTTCAGGGACGTAGGTTCCCTGGCGCACATTCTTTTCTATGGACGAGAGCTCTAGTTAGATTCAGGGTCCATATTTGTTTAGTCTCACTGATGAAGAATGTTGATTATTACACTCCGAACTAGTTAAAACCTCGAGCTACAGAAAGAGTTCTTCAGAATTGGTTTGGCAACCGCTGTGTCAACTCGTGACACACCACCTGTCTTGTCAACTCTCCGGCTGTAACTCCAAATCAACCATCAGTGTTTGACATCAAAGCTCCAACTCTCCTCGTGTCTTTCTGAGTCCTGACTCTCCATTGCTTCAGAAGTTTCCCCCCCACAATCTACATGTTTTTGTTACTTAGCTAGCGTTTTTATGTTTAATTAACACAAGGACTGGAAGAAGGGGGTATCAGTTATCCTATGTTTGAAGTGAACAGAAGTCTGTTGTCTTTGCCAAAGAAAGATATACGTTTTTCATTTGTGAGCCTTAGAGGGGCTGATTTAGACAGAGCCAAGCTAGCTGTTTAGCCCTCCGCCCCTTCTCTATGCTAAGCTAACTGTAGATCTGTTTAGCTCTAGCTTCATATTTAAGGGGCAGACATAAGAGTGGTATCAACCGTGTTGCCCTTATTACAAAAATGGAAAATGTACAATCTCTGATGGAAAATAAGATCTATCAGAATCAGTATCAGGTTTATTATTATAGTAAAAAATAACAGTATTTACATTGCAAAGTATGGCCTTCCTTTTAATAATTTGTGTTTTTCCTTTTGTTGTCCCCCTGAAGGTCAAAGTGGACAATATGAGTGATTTCCAGGACATTGCCAGTGTGGTGGCCATCACTCAGACCTACTGCACCACGGAGCCATTTATAGATGCCAAATACGACATCAGGGTCCAGAAAATCGGCGCTGACTACAAAGCATACATGTGTGTGTTCTCATCTTTTACTTATAGTTTTCGTTAGCCTATGTGTGTTCTATACCTGAACTTCAACATGTAATTGTGACAGTAATCCAATTGAAACCATTTTGTTCATAAATGTCTCTTAATTTCTTTATCGTAACAGTGAGCAACAGCACCATCAGAAGGCCAAAAAGGATAGTCAATGCTATCACTTGCATCAAGTTTCTAGGGACCCTATAGACACAATTATGATTTTAAATAATGTGTGACATTTTCTCTTGCAATCCTTTTTAAATAGTTTAAGGAATACCAGCGAATTGAGTGCTTAACTGGATAACTTAAATGAATTAGACAGGGTGTGTTTCAGTACCTAGTTGCTCTGTGTAAACCTTTGCATAAACTGTAGTATCTTTACCTGGATGGTGATCAGCCTCATAACCTGCAGCTGTGCCCGTCGCCTGAATCTCTTATTACCTTTTTTCACAATTTGTCTGTAATGATTTAACACACAATTTCCTCTCTTCCTCCAGGCGAACATCCATCTCTGGTAATTGGAAGAGCAACACCGGATCTGCCATGTTGGAACAAGTAGCCATGACTGACAAGTGAGCACCGCTTCCACATTAGTGATGCTCCGGCTGCCTTTGTGTCGCACACTTAACTGTTAGTCACTATGTGCTCTCACACTAGATTCATTGGGCTGAAACCAGTTCACATGGGTAAACACAGATGTTTGGAAATCAGCTTGTGATTGCAGTTGATTGATGCGGCACTGTGATTTTATTTAAATTTAATTTGGCTAAGGACATTTCTATTTTTTACATTGAGCTGCTTTGTTCATACTTACAATTTGGATTGTAGACCTTTGCAAACGGTGTTGTTTTATTCTTACTTTTAACAGCAGTTACAGATAATAATTCAAATAAAAACAATAATAATGCATGCTGGATTACTGGCAAGCCCTTAAAGAGATACTAAATTAAATTCTAAATAACAACAATTGAGTTGTATGATGTTTAGTGTCGTTAAATAGCTAAAAATGGATGCACCGGAAGCTTCCATTGTATCGGAAGCAAGCATGTATCTCACAAAGTCAGAAGCCCCCTACAGAATAAGGTGTTTTCCACTTTCCCTCATTAAAGTTAATCTTGCCATCCATTAAAATACCGTAATGCCACAATGTAAATCCAGAAACCATTATAATCTAAATCTTCTTTAATCTGTGAGAGTTTTAAACAGAGTACAGTTAGACTTTAAACCTTACAAATGTAATCTTAAATGATCTGTAGACAAAGTAAAATATCTGCACATTAGATTGTCCTTTTGGTCAGTATTGATATTTCAGTGTGCTTGTCTTAGTTATTAAGAGTGCAACTGTGATGGACCTCTTTACAGCTGCCAAAGCCAGCAGCAGCAACCTTATGTTATGTTCCACCTTTACTCTGACTTACCTTGCTAAAGTTATACACAAGTCAATATCTCGTGTTAACTAGTGTCCAAGGACCATCATTTTTCAGTACAAGCTAAATGGTGTAAGGAAGGTAACGTTCTTACCTTCACTGCATGTTGTGCTTTATACCTGCAGCTCTTCTTGACCCACTGCCAATTTAGCAAATCAGCATTGTTGTACACACGTTAGTGGTACCCTATGTGTTTTCTTTACCATTTGTTGTTAACAGACTACTCCTTGTAGAACTAATCCAGTTTTGCTTGATGACAGGTATAAACTGTGGGTTGATGCCTGCTCAGAGATCTTCGGAGGGCTGGATATTTGTGCCGTCAAAGCCATCTGTGGCAAGGATGGTAATGACTACATTACTGAGGTAAGAAAAAACACTCCAAGAAGGGAGGGAGAGAACTCTTATTTGACTGCTGCCTTATTATCACTGTATTTACCTCCATCTTTCATTAACAAACCTTTTGACATCAGCCTGTTGTAGTTGTGTTCCATAAGAAGGCAAATATGGTCTTTAAATCTTAAATTAAGCATGTCTAGCCTAATTTACACTAGTGGGGCCTTAGCTTGTCTGGCTGGAATTATTATTATATTATTAATATTATAGTTATTAGTTTCATAACTAACATCTGGTGTTAGTTTAAGTTTAAGGTTACCTGTATCTGTTATCTATTGCCCACCTCTCTTGGTCTCCTGCCCCTATTGTCTTTCACTTTTTTCTAACTTCTCAGGGGATAAGCTTTTACTCACCTTGATTTGGTCTTTGGCAGCAAAAAGCACTGTGATAACTGGTAGAGTTCAATCTGAAAAGCAGGTCATGGGGTTAAAGCCATGCTCATTGCCCAAGGTTGTAACATGGGGCTAGTGTGCAGCGATGACTGAGACAAGGTTAAGGTTCAGATACAAGCTCAGAAAAAGAAACTGGATCAGACTCTGGCAGATATTCAGAAGTTCAGACTCAGATTGAGAGAGAGCCTCGAAGAAGAGTTTAGACTCGGACAGAGAGAAACGCAACTTTAAGCAGAGTTGGGTTTAGGCCCAAAGTGACACACAGGCTAGGACAGAGCAAGATCGAGCCCAAAAGAAGAAACAAGAAGAAACAGAGACTCTGATAAAGGAACAGAGTTTCAGGAGTGCTGGGTAGTCCAGGCACCTGAGTTATGGGCAGTAAAGTAACTAGAGAATAAATCCCAGGAACCAGCCAAGATATACTCACACCCAAGAGCATTCAAGTTGATTTAAATCAAAAGTAAGTATAGCTTACAAATGATCCTTCCCAGGCGCTTCACCTCGGCTCCTGGGAACAAGACTGCAGATGCTAAAAGGCATTGTTGACTTTCAGGAAAATGGCACAGGAATACAAGGCCATGATGCAGGTAGAAGGCTAGCCAACAAGGAATTAAGCAGTGAGCTGGTCAAAAAGGAAGCTCTGGAAATAACAGGAATGAAAAAACACTGAAGAAAAAAACCGCCTGAGGACCTGAGGGACTCATTTGGCCACAGGATTGAGCTGATTAGAGGCCAAGATTTCGGCCAGCTTAAGGAACAACTGAACAAGCCAAAAGATGGAGAGCTGCTTCTCTCTTGATGCATTTTGGCAGTAACCGCAGAGCCACTCAATGGTGTGGGTCATCTCAGCCCACTTGGAAAAAGTTGGGGCAGTTTTTGCCAAATTTCATGCAGCTGGCACGGAGTGGCTGGACCAAAATATAAACAGTGATACGGCACATATGGTTAGCGTGGCAATGGAGGAACATTTTAGCTTAACTTATGATTATGAAGTAAATGTTGATTGCACATTGTAAATAATGGCACCATCTGTATTTTGATTGGTTCCCTATAAGCATCACCTTCAATATACAATTGTGTCTGCCTCTGGGTTTCGACCTGGTGACTATAAACACATGATTTACGGCCCAAAATGGGAAGAGAATAGCACTTGATTTGTGCGTATACTTATAAAAGTAATAAAATAATAACACAAAGCTTTTTAGTCTGCACCAAAAGTGCAAACTCATTATTGCTCCCACATTGTCACGGATATTACAGCTACACTTTCTCTGTTGTTACCTTTCACAGTAAAAGCCCTAGACATATACACTGCTGCCTACCAGAGAGCATTTTCAAAAGGAGCAACTCAAGAAAACAGTTTGTTCTACTTACAGTAGCTGGATCACTAAGCTAAAGGGTGTTCTTTCCTGCTTGGATCACAGCAGATAGATCAGGCTTTCTATTTGTAGGGTTGTTTCTTGCTTTGGACAGTAACGTAAGCCAACCTGCTAGTGGTAGCCATATTGCTAACGATATATGAACAAGTGGATTGATCTACTGAAATCCATTTGTTCTTCAGACAGAGCCTAAATCAAAAATACCACTTGGAAACATAATGGGGGAGGAAGAAGTCTGTTCCCAATTAAATACAGTTTGCTATGTTCTCAATAAATACGCTTTTAGTTTGACTGGCGCTTAAACAGGCAAACACATCCACTGGTGCTTTGATGGGGCACCAGACAATTATAAAGAGATGGGACCTGAGGACATCAGATGTCTGGCAGGGGTTGAAACTCAACTCAAGTTGGACATTGAGAGGAGAACGGAGGCATGACAAAGTTTGAACAATTACGAGAACAAAACCAAGTGAGACAGTCTGAGGCTGAAGAGGATAGAGGTGGACATGATGTAGGAGCCACAATGAGCCTGCGGTTTCCAGGCAATAATCTAAACATCCCACTTACACTTTGAAGTATGCTGAATGTCAAAAATAATCAGCACTTTGGTGAAAGGTAGATTAGATAGGAAAAATGTGAAAAACATGTATTCTCTGAGTCATCTCCACTGGATAAGTGTTTTGGCTTTTATAATGATGCTATACAATTGCTGAGTTCCAGTACATGGATGTTGTCATAATATCATTTTCTGTCTTATCTGGCATATTTTTGTATATTTTTTCACATATTTTAAAACAAAACACTTCGTTTTCCAAACCAAAGTATCCATAAAAACCTTGACCATATAAACCAAAACTGTTCTGACCATAAAACATCAAATCTAAACAAATAAAACCTGGTAGAAGATGCAATCGTATAAAAACCACCAGAAAGCTTTGTCCAAACATGATGTGTTGACCTCTGTGCCGTTCTTTGTTTTTCTCGGCTAACTCTTTTTCTAGTATGGGTCAACAACATTATAGTGATGTCACTTCTCAATAAAGAAGGCCCACACTTTCTGATACGTTATCTGTGTCCTGTTTGTGCAGGTTGTGGGTTCTTCTATGCAGCTAATCGGTGACCACCAGGCAGAGGACCGTCAGCTCATCTCAGACGTGGTGCTGGCGAAGATGAACCAAGCCCTGGTCACAAGGTCATCTAGTGCTTCCCGCTCTCCGGCTCGCTCCCCTCAGGGCCAGAAGCCGACTACTGTGCAGCCCCAACAGGTAGAGGCTGATATAAAACCAGCGTAATGTAAAAACCTAAGCCACACCTATTTTACACGCCGGTTGTGGCTATGTGTTAAAAGAGAAAATGGCGCAGGTCTTAGATTTTAGTATCAGTCGCTGTGTAACTTGTCAAAATGAATAGCTACACAACACAAACTACTTTATTGGTTAGCTTGTTGAACAATTTAATAGTTCAGTTCATTTTACAGACAACCACAGACAGGCTATATCAAAGTATTCATTTATTATTGATAATTATTTCATGGCCTAAGTTTTATAGAAGAACAATTCATGCTGTGCTAAAAAAATTGATTTCCATTTTTGTTGAGGAAGACTTTTATGCGGAAGGAATTAAAGGCCTGTCCCAATTATATGCTGTTAAAAGTGATGAAAACAAACAAAAGCTATGCCAATTATTACAATTTTACATTATCTCTGAGGGATGGCTCCAAAATAATTATTTAAATGACACATGCTCATACAAAATGTGCTTACATTTTCCTGTGAGTATAAGGAAAGGTATGTTCATAATCCAACAGGTCTGCAGGAAAGTTACTTTGGTGTAGCGTTTCACATTTAACAGCTGATTATTTTACTAAAACCTGCTTAACTTTGTTTGCCTTTCTTTCCCATTCTCTGTCTCTCACAAATGATCTTACGTCTTCTGTTTTTCTCTCATCTGTCTTCCACTCTCTCTCAGAGCGCTGCCCCTAAGGAGGGACTGCCAGATCCAAACAAGACCTCGGGCCAGCGCCCTCAACCTCAAGGTTGTCTGACCACTGTTCTCCATTGTAATACAAGTGCTTCCACCGTAGAGCCAAAGTATGTGTAGGGAAAGTCTCACTGCTCCCATCTAAAGAGATTTCTCTCAAATGAAGTACTTGAAAGAGACATTCTCTAACGTTAGTAAAGATTACTAAAAAATAACCCAAGAAACAACAGGTTATTAGTTACTGAAAAGAGATAAAGAAGGTTGATTTTTCTTAACAGAACCAATGCTAGAAATGTTCCCTCGTTTCAGTCTTTGTGCTAATGTCACACCACTCAGACCGCAAGGGTATTATAGATGTAGAAAAACGTTAATTTATTAAATTCCACAAGGCACATGTGCAAGATGTCAGAATCTCAAACGATCTCCAAGCACAACACAGTCACACACAGACAGACTTCTTCTGTTCATCTCCAGCATGAAACAATGATGAACCATCAGGTGATCTGCCCCCTTGTGGTATAAACATGCATGTGCAGGTAGACAACCTCAACCTTATGGGTGCTACACTAACATGCTGCAGTGCTGTAGCTTCATGTTTAAGTTTATTTGGATGTTTGGATTATTTTTCCCAAATTGTCAAACGATTCCTTTAAGACTAAGAGCAATTTGTATTTTATCTGCATCCTTATCTCTGTGCCTTGAAACTAAACTAGTACATTGTCCAAGAAAATAATATGACCTTGCTGTCTGTGTAAGCTACGTCTGTGTCTCTCTTTGACACAAGACTAAGAAGCGAATACAGTTCACTCCAGGCAGTTAACCAGCCTGTGGGCTTTATTTGCAGCCATAGCGTTTGTGTTGACTGTAGTGATTTTGTGCTCAGGGATGCTGCGTTAAACTAAATGTGCCTACTAAAAGCAGTTATCAAACATCATGTAACATAATAATAATGGTTTGGTAAATGAACAAAACCATTATCACATGTTTGTTTATTTACTTGAATTAGGTTTTCTAATTCTGCATGGATATGGAAAATGCCAGTACTTATTGTCATGTTCAATATGTTTTTGCTGGTTGGTTTAGGGAGGCTGCCATTTAATGTTTTACAGGAGTTAGATTTGATCATGTGCCAACAGTGTTGAGATTTTAAGATATTCAAATAGGATTGCAGTTTAATTTATTTTTATTTTAATCTAACACTGAGAAAATGTATTTCACGGTTGCAGATTAGCCTATTTATAGAGAGATGTTTTTCTTATTTAGTATGCATTCTGATATTAAATGTAAAATCTCTTCATAAATACGCTACACATGATCACTGTTCAAGTTCTGGTCAGCTCAGAATGTTTAATGGCTTTTCAATCTTTCTTATCATATTAAGTTCTGTACATAATAGTGCGAGTTTATGGTATAACAGATAGAAAGAAAGGCCACTTTGCAAAAACTGAATGTGTAGTGAAAAACAGCCTGGTGTGTCTTTTGTTGTAAATTAACCCCTCATTGTTCTGTGTTATAATACCTGAGACAAGACAAAGGGGCTTTACACAGTACACAATACACATTTTTCTTGACTAATACAAACCTGCTTGGGTGATTAATGAAGAGTTTCAATGTAAAGAAGTGTATTTTTCTGTCTTTGCATGTTCATTTCCAAATTTGCTTGGATCCATATAACTGATTTGATCACATTTGATCTTAAGACAATCTGGTAATAAATAATAGTTTGTTCTTCTCTGTCTTAATCTCTCCTGATTTACATGAAGAGGTTTGATGTAGCACACGTTAGAGGCTTACCCAGTTTGTTGACTTGCATCCTCTTTAGATAAAGCAGCCAAGTGATTACAAATATTAATTATATTATATTGTATAAATATAATTCATATATAATCAAAAATTAACAAATAATCCATGGTTTGCATCCAAGCAAATACATATTTTATCACCCTTTACTAATTATGTTTGTACAAATAGTATTTTCTTTGTTTTTTATGCGATTTGAGTCCCAAGCAACCATTAGGGAAAACATAAGACTCATAGCCATTTGCTGCAGCTTCCTTTACAGTAATGACTAAATGACAATGTGTGGGATGCATTTCTTGTGGTCATAGCATGTGATCATGGTTATCATTTCATTTCAAATCCCAAAATTAAAGTTTTATGTTAATTAAGTTAGCATACTTTTATACACGTTCCATGCTGTCTACAAAGACAACTCTATTTAATGTTGGAGGATATCATTTAGATACCCATCTATAATTCTGACCAGGAAAATGAATCAGTCCCTGTCCAGTCACTTCCTACTCAGCACATACTGCATGTGTTTCTTTTCTGCTGCGTGATAGGTTGCTTTGCTGCCTGAGTTTGAGTCCACATTGTTGTTTCTCCTGTTTGTATCATCTCTTCCTTTGTTATTTACAGTTTTTCATTCACATCTCTGACATGTTCCTTTCCTCCCTTCATGTCGTTTTCACCACACTGCTGGTCACATGCTTTTTGCATAAAAGCAACCAATACTTGGCATGAAGGACTTGTCACCTTCTCTTAGCCGTTGATCTGCCGCCACCTGCTGGTTGTTAATGCAGTCCAAATATTCAGAGCCTGCTTTGCTCCAGTTTGTTCTTGACAGATGAGTTGGTTAGAGTTCTTTGAATGTGAAAAGTTGTTATGTGAATGAGCATGTCGAGACTCAAGCTCATTCCCTGGCCTATATCATGTTCTGCTTTGGTCTTTTGATGAGGGTTAGTTAGTGCCTTGATTTCAAACTGCTGCACAAAAAGAAAACTGGTGCTAAAAAATATGCCTATGTATTTATTTCCTTTACTTTATTTTGGCTTTTTAGCTCGTCTTGCCTGTATATGTTGTATAATCATTTAAGTTTAATCTGATACATTTATATTTTAATCCTTTAGGTGCACCAGTGAAAGCACAGAGTGTGGATACACCGTCAGAGTCGGCAAAGAGAGTGTCTGAACCGGTACCAAAGCCCAGTCAGGCCCAGAAACCTAGCCCAGGGCCAGTTCAGAAAGCAGCTCAGGCTCAGAAGGCCCCGGTCCAGAGGGCCGCCTCGGTCACAAGGCCTCCAGTGCAGAGGCCTCCTCCCCCAATGCTGAAAGCCACTTCTGTCGCAAAGTCAGCCCCAGATTCTTCCTCTACCCCAGCCAAAGCTTCACCACCATCCCCAGCTAGAGCAGCCGCTCCACGCTCTCCTCCAACCAAAGTAGCAGCACCAGTCCGAGCCCCAGCCCCAGTCCCAGCACCAGCTCCAGCACCTGCCACTGCTACTGCCCCAGCCCCTGCCCCAGCCTCCCCCTCAGCCTCAGCTCCTACCACAGAGCAGCCCAAGCCCCAGCCTCAGGGCTCCCCATCCCCAGCTCCTGGCAAACCAAAAGAGCTGCCACCCAAACCCACACCACCTGCAAAGCCAATCCCTCCAATTCGCAGGAATTCAAAGCCGCAGATCCAGCCAAAGCCACAAACCCCGCCCCCTGTCAAAGCTTTACCTAAACCCCAGCCCGCTGCCCCAGCAGATGCCTCCGCAGCCCCTGCCCCAGCACAGGTTCAGTCCCCTCCTCAGGCAGAGTCTACGGCTAAGGCTCAGCCACAGGCCATGCCGGCCTCTCCTTCCCAAAACCCAGAGCCTGTCCCAGCTGAAGATGCAGAGGCCCCTGCTGAGGGTGAGGCCGCTGTGGACGAACAACCAGGATCCCAGCCAAAAACCCACCCTCTTCTGAAGTAAGAGCCGTCTTGTCAGCACAATGGGCCATACTTTGTGATTTAAATACAAATTTGATTTAAATATCTAAATCCTTTCTTTGATAATTTATCAAAAATATTTGTTGTTTTCAAAGTGTCTTTTAAGTGTTCCAGTCCAACTGGTAACCTACTGAAACTATGAAATACACACTTTGTTTTAGCCCTCACTATTTAGCACATATAAGCAGTATATAAAGATATGATATGTGGTTTACTATAAAATCCTTTTAAGCAGATGTAAGGTCCATTTTCTTTTTGTTGATGTATGAGTCAGCGACTTCAAGTCCTCTCTATGAATTGCTTGGTAGTATATTAACGACAATAGTAAAACACATTTCATAGGAAGTTATTATTCTAATGACCTGAACATTTCCTTATATCTGCTTATATCTAAATTATGTGTTATAAGCAATATAGTAAATGTTCATATATTGCTTATAATCAATGGGGGGAGGGGGGTAAAGTACAATGTCAACATTTAAGAATGTTTTCAAAGATCATTGTACAATATAGTGTTTTTGACTACCCTCCTTACTTTTCCCTCTAACTTACTTTATTTACTGCGTCCCGTCCTTCCTGCCCTCCCTCCTCGCCCATTTGCTCTCCCCCCCTCCCTTTTCCCTCCCTCCTCCCTTCCCAGTAAGTCCCAGTCCCTGACCAATGCCTTCAACGCCTTCAGCGACTCCTCTTTCTTCCGCGGGGCCCCGAGCACCGGAGGTGACGGCCAAGACGAGGAAAAGGCTGAGACCATTCGCAATCTCCGAAAGTCCTTCGCCAGCCTTTTCTCTGACTAGACACAGCCAAACTGTAGTCAGCCCCTTTTGGATCCTGGCCCCCCCCTTTTACTGTTGGCCAGTGATGACTTGATTGATATTAAATGTGAACAAGTCTGAGATTAAACTTTGTGTGTTAACTGTACTGTATCCCCTCTGTCCTGGTACCCTCCTCTTCCCCACTTTCAAATACTCTGTGTGAGTGACAGTGAGGCCTGCTGGGTAGGATATTCAGAGAATGATGCTTTGCCAGAATTATTGGACTGAAGGAGTTACGTCATTGATATAGAATTATAGAAGATATAGAAGAAGTATAGAATAACAACATATTTATTTTTCCCAGAGCAAACTTTAAGGAACTGTATCTGAAGTACATAAAAAGATAATTAGAGACTACAGACAAAATGTACATACAGTATATATATAAATATATATAAATATAAAGTAAATGAATACAAATATATATCACTTTAAAGGGAGATAAGCCACTTATAGGAAATAAATAGTGAAATATTTTCACTTAGCTTTTGTCAGTGACATAACTCTTTCATTAAGTGGCTGGGTTCATACACATTATGAAAAATGATTTTTGACGTTTTATGGTTTCCCCCACAGTGAATACGTTTTGGTCAGTAAGTGAAAGTATGTGAGTAAAAAAGAAAAAAAACGACTGGGGATTTTTTGATGGGTAAATCAAGCTGTTGTATCTCTTGGCAAAATGACTAATGGGCTCGTCATTGCTGCCCCCTTTTCGTCTAAATGCCTTGAAGTTCAATGTCATGTTAGGGAGTCCGAAATATGTGTTCATCCGTGTTCAATTGTTATGCATGGCTCCTCCAATGGCTCAGTGTGACTTTTGGAGAAGAAGGTGAACTCTATCATTGTTGAGCCCTACGTTGCCTCTCTCTCTCTCTCTCTCTCTCTAGATGTTGTAGCTTTATTGTGAACATGTTTTCAATTCAGCTACGTTTGTTAGCTGGGCAGACCTGGGTCGATTACAAATTGAGATTCATTCCTTCACTTCAAGTGTTTGATTAAGTATTACAGGCAGGATTTATTGCCAATGGTTTGAGAATATTGGTGACTGAACAATCAACCCTGATAAGTAACTGAATGCATTTCAAAGAGTAAAAAGACACATCTGTAGCTGTGACTGGTGATTTCTTGTTTCACCTCTGTGTAGATCTATCAACAGTATTGTAATTTGTTGATTATTCTCATGAAGACATTGAGACAGTAGTGCAATAACACCTCAACTTAACTGTTGAGTGCTGTCACCCTAATATAAATATAAATACATACAGGATATGTGTATCTGTTACCTTACTCTTACATTCCCTTTAAGATTCCTTTCAATCACAACTTTCCAGGTTGCTTTTTACCGCAGACATTTCACTGGTTTTCAGATGAATATGCCATGTTTAACTGTTGGTTTCTGTGATTAATCCTTTTTGTGTTGTGGGACTGAATTTAAGGCAACCTGGATTGAAACCAGTGCGATGACTGGTCATTTTCAGCTCAGTTGCTGCATTTCAAGATCATATGTGTACAAAAAAAGAAAAAAAATCTCAAAACTTAAGATCCGCTAATCAACCTGTCTGATGATCCATTTCCAGTACTATGTGGCAAGTCATTTAACACATATTGTATTTGTATGTAAGTGTCATCTCAGGAGTTTATTTTTTGTAATATATTGATTGATTTATATTTTTGAGGCTCCATATTTATGGTAAAGTATATATTGTTTGTTTTGTATTGTTTTTATTCGTAATACAATACTGCTTTGCATGATCTGGTGACTGATGATGTTTTTTTCTGTACAGATAAAAGTTAATAAAGATGTGGTTCCATCATTCCACTAATTCATGAAATACAATTAATGCCTTTTATTTTCCAATGTTGTATTCTAAGGACCACATCGTTTTCTCATATAAAGATCGGATTCATTTCTTAGGTTAACTAATTAGAATGAAAGTTTTTAATATGACAAAAGTTTGCAGTTTGTGATTTCACTTCATCAATGTGATTTATATAAATATGCCAGTATTCAACCAACTGCAACATTTATTCTTACATATACGAACAGTATATCTTAAAATAAGTCACTGAATCAGCAAAGTTTTTCTGACACTAAGTCTTCCTTACTCTTATTCCTTACTCCACTCAAGTGTTTGTAAGGCATGTTCTGCTTGTTTGTTTCTTCATTGAGCTTTATCTCATGTACACAATCAGGACTAATTGCATCACATGATGTTGAGCTCGTGATTTTATGCCATGAGGTCATCACATATTTTATTTGACAATAGCAAAGGTATGTTGTAATGCTAAATAGGGAACTTCCCTTTTTAGTTGCCGCCCTCCAGAGCTTTCACAGTGTAAGGTCAACGACGGCTCTATTTGTTCTTTGAGTCTGCTTAATATTTCATTGATATATTTAGAAGGGAAAGCATTGAAATCAAACTTTATTTTCTATGGTTTGATTGATATATGTTGCTGTCACTATTCACCCCATTAGTTGATTTCTAATAGTTACATTTTGGGTTCTACATCTTGATCAAAGCAGAAAAGTCCTTAGATGTCAACAGGACAACTTCAAGGAGTTGCTAACACAGGTCAAACATTCAGAATTACAGTTACATTTCATTGGTTGTGTGCTACTCAATGGAGAGATGGTTTAAACTACTCATCCTGGCCAGCAGGTGTCACTACTTACATATATAAATACTCTATGGGACCCTTCAATTGGGCTGACTGGGCACATTAGCTCAATGTTTCCAGTCGTTGCAAAAGCTGCCACCTTAGGTACCTCAGAGTCTCTCTCACTGACTTTACTGCCATCAACCTCTTATCTCTTTTTGCCATTCAAATATGTTTTAGTTATATTCAAATCATTTAACATATCTGGATTTATGTTGTTCTATTATTCAATTGCCTAGCCTTTAATTTGCCATGCATATGTGGGTTAAAAACAACCACTGATGTCAATATGGGTACTATTATATGGTTACTATAATTATTATATAGTGGAAAGGTTATACGGTGGCAAATGTAATGAAATAGATAATCATTGTTATTGTATTGTTTTGATCAGAATAACCAAACAGCATTGACCTCCCCTCCATGCACACATACAAAGCACATCTTTAATATTCAATGAAAAACACCTGAGTTTGTCATGTAAATTAAACTTTCAATATGTGTCACTTAAGGTGATTCATGTCATAAACCTTGTTATTTACACTTGAAACTTTGAAAGGACTTTCATTGTAAAGAAAAAGACGTAAAGAAATACAGTGATGATGAGAAAAAAATTCACAGATCCTCTCGCTCAAATTGTTTGTACAAGATAGACGGAGGAAACACGCTCTGTTTCTGGGTCCATGGGACGATCAGTCAGCAGAGATCTGTGGGAAAGTCTCCATCAAACTGCTCATACGGGACATGGACGTGGGTGGCTAACGCACCAAAGCAAGCCTATACTAGACAAACCCTGTTTGTCTTGGTGCTCATCCCAACAAGCTGAAGCCAAGCTGAGAGCAATCAAATACTTAAGTTTGCATAAAGGCCAATTAGTACTTTGGTTAAAAATTTAACCCCAAGACAAGGTTCTTAAATCACCTATGTTTGACGATGGGAAGAAAAGCTAACCAATTTGGCCTATTTCCTATTATCAAGAGCCAACACTGATTTTAAATAAAAAAATGTGTCACTACAGATTGATTTTGAACAGTTTGCTCCCCTCTCTGGCCTGAAAACAATGTCTGTTCCACTTTATAATAATTATGGTGTCAAGACAGTAGTAGGAGAGTCTTGCACAGATAAAGCACTTACATGATAAACAATTTTAGATACCAGAGCTCAAGCCCCCTGTGAGTCAACTGTATAAACAATTAGAAGTTATTGCTCAGGATTGCTTGCTGTTTTTTGTAAAAGGAGAATTCTCCAGGGCTTCAAGTTTTTTAGTTAAGTGCATATAAATTATGTGTGGGGAGGACTGTGAAACATGTGAGAGAGATTCTGATGTGTGTGTCTACAGTATGTGTGAACAAGCTAAGTTTGCCAGAGCTGTCTTAGTTCAGTTCACAGAGTTATGATAGATCAAAGGGAGCTGAAATCAAGCTGACTGCTGCACAGTGGAAGTAGCATGATTGAACTACACTGACATCTTGCTGCTTTAAAAGGTGATCACACAAGACTGTCAAATCTGTCTAAATCACTAAAGAATGCAGAACGTCATAGGCTGGTGAAGTGACACAGACATAAAGCATGAAAAAATGGCAACAGATACACTGTTTTGTGTTGTTTCATTTGCAGAGCGTATAGATAAAGGGAAACATTTGTTTACCAAACTTCTTTTGCTGCAAATTGTGTGTGTTACCGGATGTTTAAAACCAAAGCAAGCCAGAATCAGTCAAACAAATAGCTAGTAGATGTTAGTGTATGGTTTTAGGGTTAGAAATAGCGTGAGGTTGAGGTTGGGGTTAGTCTGAGGTCTGTAAACCTACAGATGTAGGCCTACAGAACAGAGGCTATTTGTTGTGCATAGTTTTGCAAATGATATAGTAGTAAATATGAGCTTAAATTGTTGACTGTCGAGATTTGAAAAATATATATATTTATATTTTTAAGAAACTTTTACCAGGTCAACTTTTAATTGTGACTTATTTAAGATTGTGTTAACCACTAGAGAACAGGCTGTGCTCTACCAAAGTCAGTGAACATTTATAGTTTACTTGACTTCGGCCAGTGGTGTAGCCTAGTGTTTTTATTTTTTACTGGGTGGACGCTATTTTAATGAGGTCATCCCAAACTGCCACAAGTGCGCAGGGCAGGCACTCACAAAACGGGCAGACAGGTCTACAGAAAGAAACTACAGGTATGCTTAGTCCTACTTTAGTTACTGTAGGCTACTGTACTGCAAAAAAGGAGACGGCGCTGCGCTCAACACACACACAGACTCAAAACCATGGATAGACCGTGACCGGAAAATAAGTTACATCAATAATTTATAGGCCTAAATTGCATAAATGCTTGAGCTACAGTATTGCGTTCTTGAGGGAAAGAGCTGCAGAAAAATCGGCGGGCGGCGAGCTGGTGGTGACACCCTGTGCTCACCAGCGTGATTACGAATCATAATTTTTTTAAAGGAAATTGTTTTTATTTGTTGTTATAATATTACAAGCAATACTAAGACACATTGGGGGAAATACACCTTAGAGAAATTATTTACTTTATTGACAAGAACTCGCTCAGAGTAATAAACTAGCTTATTAAAACGGCGGGAATGGTGGAAGCAGTAACTTTAACTCTTTGTAGCTTGCCTGGCAACAGCTCATGGCCCATTACACAACTGGCTTTATTCGGTTATTCTACTGTTATTAAAAAAACTAAATAAATACGTAGATTGTTGAGCTCTTGGAAAACTGTTCGGCGGATAATGTTACCCTGGCTTTCAGACAGTTAATGAGCAAACATAAGTTAGCCATCTCCTGACTTCAGCTACTTTTAGCCTCATTATTAGCATGATTTCGACACACAATATTTTGAGATAAATAATGTTTGTCATTTTCATTCTCAAATCATTGTGAGATACTAGCCTATCATTATTTTTGAAAAAGTTTCCCATTATTATCACTTACAAGAGTTACTTTTTTCTTTTTTCCTATTGTTTTAGTTTATGTATTATATTATAATGTTAGCTTAACATTAGCTAATGCTCAAAAGAAAGATATGAGCTTTGCCCAACATGGCGAACTACGCCTTTATTAACTTGGCAATACACAAATCAGTGTCCAACATTAAACAAGCGATCAAACAAATAAGTTATATATATTTTACTTCTGATTTGAGCTTACACCAAAGAGTGGACAGAACAGATGGGTAATTTGATGCCTCTGCTGTGTCCTCAAGATCCCGGGCGAGTGGTGTTCGACAGGAGGGAGGAGAGAGAGAGGCAAACACCAGCAGCAGCAGCAGCAGCAGCAGCAGAAACCTCGACAGCACACAGACCTCAACACCCAGACACCACCCTCCTGTGCAAGCCACGAGACGACGCCACGGTTTGGGGCTGACACGCAAATCCACGCAAAAGAAGACGGCGATCCACCTTCCAAAAGCAAGTGGGCTCTTCTGCTCCAAAACAGAGAACAGGTCAGTCACCTTCCACTCGGTTCACAGTTTGCAGCGATGTGAGTTTCGTCACTGCTGCTTGATTGTTAACGCAATGCACACTTAAAAAGTTATTTAAACTGCTAACACAGAGTCTGCATTGGATATATTACACAATCGGGAAGTTATATTAAGTAATCAGGATTGTTTTCTGGGAACAAAACATTATTTGAATTCAAATGTACTGACTGAGAGAAAGTTAAAACAGGAAACCTTTTGATTCATCCATCCTCAAATTCTCCTCTTTCACTGAGACTGCCGGATGTCTTATGTCCGTGTGGACACGTTTTGGCTTTTTGACTGACCATCAGTGGCATAGTGGGTGGTGATGGTGACGGTGGTAGTGGGCGGTCACAGGACTGACAGTCTGGCACACAGTCAGGTGCTGATCCACAGTGAGTCTGAGTGCCACAGTGAAAGTGTGGGTTTGACATGCAAACAGCAGGCAGAGATTTAAACGATCAAAGCGGTCACAACTTCTCAGGTGAGTAGCTACAAGAGACTTTGTATTTGTCACTTACGCTTTAAAAAAAGTTATTAGTCAATTCTAATGGGTGACTCTTTTTGAATTTTTATATATTCTTCTCTAATGCCTTTATTCTCAGTATCATGTGAGGGATGTTTGGATATTGCACAACACCCAAAGCAGTTCTATGTTTTTTTAACTGACTGGAAAATCTTGGTCGTGACTCAGCAAAATTGTGGACA